GAAGATGAGGGTGAGGATGAGGAGGAGGAGCAGGAGGAGGAGGAGGAACAGGAGGAGGAGGAGGAGGAGGAGAAGAGGAGGAGGAAGAGGACAAATAGTAGGAGATGGGACACAGGAGGAAAAGGAGGAGGAGGAGGAGGATGAGGAGGAAGAGAAGTATGAGGAGGATGAGGAGGGAAATGAGGAGAAGCAAGAGGAAGAGCAAAAGGAGGAATATAAGGAGGAGAAGGAGGAAAAGGAGGAGGAAGAGGAAGAGGAGGAGCAAGACGGGGAGGTGGTGGAAGAGGAGGAAGAGGAGGAGATGGTGGAGGAGGAGGAGGAGGAGGAGGAGGAAAAGGAGCAGGAGGAGGAAGAGGAGGCGTGAGCTGAGGAGGAAGAGGATGATACACAGGAGGAGAGAGGGGCGGGGGCGAACGTGTCTGCGGGTGCGACGGGTTGACACGAGGCACGGGCCCCGACGAAAACAAGCCAGGACAAGTCGGGGATCTCGGAAACCTCGCGGCTCCTCCTCAGCGGGCCGCTTTCTGCTAATCGGTCCCGTCGGACCCTCTGGAGCTCGCGGAGCTCGACGGGCTTTCAGAGCCCTCGCTCCCGCTCTCGGAGGCTGGCCCGCGATGTGGCAGACCTGGTCATGTTTTGCCAGATCTGGCATGTCGTCGACCGATTCTAGCGGCGGCGCGCAGGAAACCCAGTTGCATGCGCCAGCCTTGTGGAGCCTGGTCACATTGCGCTTCTTCGCGCATGCGACGAAGTCGTTGCCAGCCTCCTGGAGGCGTGTACCCTCGGGCGGAGGAGGCTGATGGGCCCCGTCTCCGAACTGGACGTTCACCCAATCGCCGTCGTCGAGGTTTATAGCTCCGCCTCCACCTGCTCCACGATGCTGTCGCGGCCGCCCTCCGCCTCCTGCTCGCCCTGCGGGGGCGTGCTGGTATCCGTCGCTTCCGCCGGTGGTACTCCTCCGTTGTCGACGGCGGTCTCTGGAGTCGCCATCGCCCCCACCGGCGGCGACGCTGGCGACGGCCCCCTCATCTCTTCGTCGCCCTCCCGCGCCGCAAGCGCCCACTCTGCGCAGTTTCTGAGGCCCTCGTAAGTCTTGGCTGTTACGTCCGCCGCGTCACGCTCCGTGAAATCATCTTTCTCGGCGCCCGCCAGCTCGCCAAGTCTGGGATGGCTGTTGCCTCGTCAAACTCCACGAGGGCCGCCCCTGAGAGCAGCACCGCCGCGAAATGTTGCTGTAGTTTGGGGACGGAGGCGCGGTACGTCCTCGCGTAGGTGTCCGCGCCTTCCAGCGACTACCTTCCCAGGTCGTCGCAGTCATTCCTCGGGACCCCCATCGCCGCCAAAGCCGACGGTATTGTCACTCGTTCCGAATGCTCCTCCCGGAAGCTCCTGACCTCCTCGAACAGGAAAGACTCTGCGGTTTGCCCGCCCCGGCCGGCGCCAGCACACCCCGGAGCACTTCCTGGCCCGCCGCCGGAACCTCGGCATACCCAGCGGGTTTGCGGACCACCTCCTGGCCGGTATCGTCGCACCGCGGCAACGAGTTATTCACTCTCGAAGTCCGCGATCCCCCACTGCAGGCCGAAACCCATATCCATCCACGCCGGATCCCGCATGTAGCATTCACGGGACTCTACCAGCGGCAGCTCCGACATCTTGCGCCCTGGCCGCTGGTCGTCGCACGTGCTAGGGGGGCTGTCCGACCGCCGTCCACGAAGGCGAGACGTCGAGGTGGGAGCCAGCCGTGGTCGCCGTAGCGCAGCACCTTCCAGACCTTGACGAGGCGAAGCCACACACACACACACGCACACACGCGCAGGTACTTCGCGAGGCCCTCGTCCGCAACCAGTTGCTCCAAGGCCCCGATGAACGCGCTGGGGATTTCGGCCGCCCTCACTGTCGGGCTCTTGCTGGCACCGAAGAGCATGTCCACGTTCGCGGAGCCCTGTTGTGCCTCCGGCCAGGCGGAGAGACGAACGCTCGGGTCAAAGCCCGCCACGCGCTCGGTCCAGGCCATGGCGCGCAAGGCCTGGTTGGGCACCGTCGGCCCGCACGGTTCGGAAGCCTGGCGCGCACGTAGTCGGCGAAGTGTACGACCAGCTTTGGCCACGGACGCTGTGTGGTTCCAGTGTGGCGCGTTCTTCCCGCTGCCAACGCATCGTCTCGCCAGCGCGCACATGCGACCTCACAGAATTGATGTGTGTGTGTGTGCGGACCGTGATGCCAGTCATCGCCCTCTTGGGTCGATACAATCCGCGCCATCTCCAGCGAGGGCACCTCCACCTCGTCGAACAACCTGATCAGGCGAGGCCTCCATCGAGCCTACCCTCGGGCCCCCAGCCCGCCGCAAGCTCTCCTCAGAAGCGGTGCGGCACTTCCGCGCGTGGCGGGTCCCCGCCAGTGCACGGGCCCCTGGCGGCGGCGCAAACTCACGCTCCACCTGTTCGCACACAGCCAAAAAGTCCGCGGCGGCGTCCTCCAGCATGGCCTGCTCCTGGCGGCCGTGGAGTGCCCTCAGCCGCTTCCACAGCGGCTCCTCGCCCACTGCCTGGTCGACGAACTCCTTCAACAGCGCCCGCGCCCCTTCCATGCTGACGCCCGCGGCCGCCGCCACCTGCAAACGCGTCTCCTCGGATTCGAATTCACCCGCCTGGAGCGCCGAGCGCGGGCCGAGGCGTCCGCAACCATTTAACGCCTTGCTGACCCGGCCCCGCGCGGCGTCGAGGCCGCACGGCCCAAGGGCCAGCATCTGCGCCCAACCGTAGTTCAACATCGGCCGAGCGCCTGAGCCCAAATGGCAACAGCCGTGGGGCAACAGAGGAGGATACACTCACGTGTTGGCACATGGGGGGCTCGTTCCAAGGAGTTGGGTCTTCTGCTCGTTGCCTGGTTCAACGGGCCTCCCACGCCAAGAGACGGGTCCAAGTTGACGTGGACTGGCCCGAGAGAGGTCCAAGATCCCCAAGATCGAAAAGGGAAGGAAAGCCCCATCTTCATCGCATCTATGTCAGCCCCGTCTCCGACTCCCTCTGTGGCTCATCCTCGCTCCTGCTCGTCCTCGCCCATCCTCGTTCCTTCGCTCCTTCCTCGTAGCCACGGTACCGCCCCTGAACTTGCTGGGCCGGCAACTGGCTGTATGGCGGCAAGGTCCTGGGAATCGTCCGCGAACATGAGGTGGTCCAGCTTCTCGAAAAAGCCGCTGAAACCACGCTTGCCTTGCAGGAGGTTGCTGCGTGGATATCCACATACACCGATCCCAGACCAGGATTTGGATCAGCCAGGACCTGCGTAGGTATATATATATATGTATGTATATATGTATATATGTGTATGTGTATATATACATATATATATATAGAGAGAGAGAGTGTGTGTGAAAGCCGAGCCATAGGCAACCAGAAGTAAGGAACGAAGCCAGCGTGCCTGTCCGAAGCGTGTCTCGGGCCGGGCGAAAGGGGGGGATAGCAAAAGGGGGTTTGAGAATCAGCTCGCGTAGCTGATTTTCCTGGTGTCTTTCGGCGCCGGAGGCGCCCATGTATCGAGGCATGGGCTCCTCGGTGGGGCGGAAACCAGCTGCATGCAGCAGATTTCGTAACCCCCCCTTTCCCAATCCCCCCCCTTCGTCCGGCCCGAGTGCCTGGAAGCCCACTGGTGGCCCCCCCTATGAACTCAAACCACCCAGCCCAAGACCCCTCCGAACACGGCGTGTGCTCGACACTCCGGCGCCTCGACTGCCCCTGGGCAGCGCTGGCCCGCTCCGGAGCTCGAGGGAGTCCAAGCGTGCTGACGCCCCTCGGAGACGCCTTCCGCTTCCCCCGGCTGCCGCCGCCCTCCGCCGCCTCCCGCCGACGAAGAGGAGCCGACCCTCGCGCCACCTCGCAGCCCAGGCCCCAGCCTCCCCTCCCCCTCCTCCTCCTCCTCTCCCTCCCCCTCTTCGCTCCTCTCATCCTCCCTCCCTCTACACCCATCTGCCTCTGCGGCCTCCCTTCCCATCGCCCCCGCCTCCTCCTGCTCCCTCCCCCTCCTCACTCCTCCTTCCTCCTCCTCCTCCTCTCCTCCTCCCTCTCCTCCTCCTCCTCCTCCTCCTCCTCCTGCAGCGCCCCAGCGGCCCTCCCCCCGCCCCGCCTCCCGCACCTCGGGCTGGAGCCCGCGGCCCCGGCGCCGCGGCTGCCGAGGTCCAGGCAGTGCCGAAGGGGTCACCACAAAGGGGGGTTGCCACCTCCTCCCGAGGATGGGTTAGGGGGGGGGGAGAGCCTCCCCAGAGAGCCACCCCAAATGCTCCAGTGCCGAAGGGTCACCACAAGGGGGGTCGCCACCTCCTCCCGAGGAGGGGTGGGGGGGGGAGAGCCTCCCCAGAGAGCCACCCCAAATGCTCCCCAAAGGCCCCAAACCATGTTTGATCCCCGATCCTCCCTTTCAAGCTGGGGGGGGGCGCGAACCAACAACCTCACCGACGTTCGATCCAGTACGGGCCTGGCCAGCATCGACGAGGTGGATAAGTAGTTGACATCCCCCGATGCTCGATCCTCGGAGAGAGGTCTCCCCCGCCAGGAAGCTGGAAGCACAGGTGGCTGGACTCACACGCGAAATATCCCGAAGCCACACACTGGATGCACATGCGGAAGCCTGGCGTGTACGGCGAAGGACCTGTCGGTCACGCCGTGTCCATCCAGCTTCCTGGCATCGGGTGCGCCGAGGATGGAGGCCAGCTAGCGCACCATGACCCGCGGCATGTGTGCGGACCAGGGGGGCATTGCACGCATCGATGGAATAAGAATAAGAAGAAGAAGAAGAAGAAACAGAAGAAGAAGAAGAAGAAGAAGAAACGGGGTAGGCGTGGTGTTGGGGAAATGTCCTGGCCCGGCCATGATATCCCTGCCCCTCCCCCCAAAACAACTCACCCCTCTCGACCCCTGGTGGCTCTCGGGCACCCGCAGGCAGCCCTCGACGAGGCGCAGCTGCTGGATCACCCCGAGGCGAGACCAAATCCACCAAATCCAAAAGTCTTCCCCAACCCTCCCCCCTCGACGGCGAGAAACGTCCTCATGCACCCCCTCGATCGACGCGCAAGAGCGACCCTGGGTAGTTCAGATTGACCTTTGGCGCGCGGCGTGAGGGAGCGGCGGGGGGGCCGCATGTCACTACGGGGGGGGGGTGTTATTAGCACACGGCAAAGGTACGCATGCTAGGTGCATCGACGCCGTCGGCAATGTATCGGCCGCGTGGGGAGAATCGGGCTCCACATCTAGCCGCATCACCGATGCGGCGCGATCCTCCGCCGACCCCATCTTCTAGGACCTCTGGGAGGCCCAAAAACATGCCATCCGCGCGGACCTCAGAGTTTCCGTGTTTGTGTCATTGTTCGTTCCCCGCCCCCCCCTGGGTGGCGGTTCGAGGTTCGAGGGGCACATACCAGTATCCCCAAGTAAGGTGATAGGATGGTGGCGATCGGGATGGGGATAGATGGCCGAGTTCGGAAACCCTGAACCCAAACATCTTGTCATCACGTGGGCGGTAGACTTTTGCTTCCGCCGGCGGAGCCGCCGTGTTACTTCCGGCCGCCTTCCGCCGACCGTCCGCCGCGGAAGAGATGACAACCGCTTCGAACCTCGAGAAGGCAATGCCCTTTTTGGAACGCCCCACATCGTGATGAGGACAGGGATGGGGACTGGTTCGAAGGTACTGACCCCTGTGGCAATGAGGATAGGGATGGGGATTGGTTCGAAGGTACTGACCCCTGTGGCACTGCCCAGGATGTATTCTCCACACGGGCAGCCGCCGCGCCGCTGGGCAACGCCCGCGCGGCGTCGTGGCACTCGGGCCGGGCCTGCGGCGCCTCCGGAGGGAAGGGCTCGCAATGTGGGCTCGTGCTCCCCCCCTCTGAAGCCTCTGTTGGGCCTCTCTTGGGGCCCTCTTGAGCCGTCTTGGGCCGTCCTGGGGGCCACCTTGGCCCGTCTTGGGGCCATCTGGGGCCGTTTGGGGGCGCTTTGGGGGGCTTCTTGGGCCTGCGGCGCCTCCGCGGGGAGGCGCTTCGGCCGTGCATGCGGGCCGCAGGTCGGGGAGAGTTCGGGAGAATTCGGGGACAGAGTCGATGATCGTTCGACGGAACGACGGTCCCGCAAGGGCCACGAGCGGGCATGTCGTGCTGCAAACGAGAAGTTCGCCCACTTACCGCGTTTGCGGAAGCGAAACGAGAACTGGAGCAGAGGAGAAGCCAGAGGAAGCGAAGAGGATGGACAGGAGGAGAGGCGGGAGGGAGCAGCAGGTCGGCGATGGAAGGGAGGGGAAGCAGGCGGGAGCGGAGCAGCAGGGAGAGGAGGATGGGTCGTGGGGAAGATCCTAACGCGACGAAGGGGAGGACCAAGAGGGCAATATGAGAACAGCATGTGTGAGGATGGAGAGGCGCAGGGAGAGGGGGGAATACGAACAGGACGATGATGGCGACGGTGATGATGCTGATGCTGGTCTTGTGCTGAAGCTGATGATGCTGCTGATGACGATGGTGATGATGATGCAGATGATGATGATGATGATGATGATGATGATGATGATGATGATGGTGATGATGATGATGATGATGATGATGCTGATGCTGATGCTGATGCTGATGCTGATGCTGATGCTGATGCTGCTGATGATAATGATAATGATAATGATGATGACGAGGATGATGATGATGCTGATGCTGATGATGATGATGGTGGTGATGGTAGTGGTGGTGAGCATGACGATGGTGATGGTGATGATGGTGATGATGGTGATGATGATGATGATGATGATGATAATGATGACGATGGCGATGACGATGATTAAGACGATGACGGCGATGATGATGTTGCTGATGATGATTATGATGATGATGATTGTGATGATGATGCTGATGATGCTACTGCTGCTGCTGATGATGATGATGATCATGATGATGATGATGATGATGATGATGATGATGATGATGATGATGATTATGATGATGATGATGAGGATGATGCTGATGATGATGCTGCTGATGATGATGATGATGACGATGCTGATGATGATGACGATAATGATGACATTGAGGATGATGGTGGTGGTGATGATGATGGTGATGAGGATGAGAGAGGAGGAGGAGCAAGAGGAAGAGGAGAAGGAGGAATCGGAGGCGGCGGCGGCGGAGTAGGGGGCAGGAGGCCAATGTGTTCGGGCCATGAGGGGAGGCGGGCGTCTCAACTTCTCGCTCCAACTTGGAGGCTCCAGCCTAAGGCTCCCTGGGCCCTCCCGTGTGGCCCCCGCGAGGGGCGCTGCGGAGTCCAGCCGCCCGGGTCTCGCCGGGAAACGCTGGGGCCACCTCTGTCCACCCTCGCGCAGCACCTGCCGCCGCCAGACGATGGCATGGCCAGCACGCGGGCTCCGACCATCGGCTGTCTCCAGGGGACCCAGCACAGGATTATCTTCTTACAGCGAGGGGCGAGGGGCGGCAAAGCAGGTTGCTGCTTCCACAACCATCCTGTGGAGCTGGATCCTCGTTTTGAAGAGACACCGCCCCACGTCCTCCTTTCCTCTCCTCCCCCTTTCCCATCCCTACCTTCACCCTCCGCATGTCACTGTTTCGGCATTCCCCTGACTCGTTTTGTAGCCCTATAGGGAGCTCCACCGAAGGCCGCAGTGGCAGCGCCCGCATCCTGTTCCACTCCTCATATCGGCGCACCCCTCACACGCTTCGTGGTCTCATAGGGAGCTCCACCACTGCCCCAGTGGCAGCGCCCGCATGCGGTTCCAACACCAAGTTCGGCGCACCCCTCACACGCTTCGTGGGAAGGGCCCAGTGGCAGCGCCTGCATGCCGCCGCACCCCTCCTGTCGGCGCACCCCTCACACGTTTCGTGGCCCCATAACAACTCCACCGAAGGCCGCAGTGGCAGCGCCCGCATCCTGTTCCACTCCTCATATCGGCGCACCCCTCACACGCTTCGTGGTCTCATAGGGAGCTCCACCACTGCCCCAGTGGCAGCGCCCGCATGCGGTTCCAACACCAAGTTCGGCGCACCCCTCACACGCTTCGTGGGAAGGGCCCAGTGGCAGCGCCTGCATGCCGCCGCACCCCTCCTGTCGGCGCACCCCTCACACGTTTCGTGGCCCCATAAACAGCTCCCACAAGCGGTTCCTTACCCAATGTCGGCGCGCACCTGACACGTGTCGTGGCTTCCAGATGGAGCTCCACCGAAGGCCGCAGTGGCAGCGCCCGCATGCGGTTCCACCCATCATTCCAGCGCACCCCTCACACGCTCCGTGAACTCATAGGGAGCTCCATCGAAGGCCCCAGTGGCAGCGCCGGCATGCGGTTTCAACACCAATTTCGGCGCACCCCTGACACGCTTCGTGGACCCATAGGGAGCTCCACCGAAGGGCCCAGTGGCAGCACCCGCATGCGGTTCCACCCCTTCCTTCGGCGCACCCCTCAAAGGGAGCTCAACCACTCCCCCAGTGGCTGAGCCCGCGTCCGGTGCCAGCCTCCACTTCGGCGCACCCCGTACACGCCTCGTGGACTCATAGGGAGCTCCATCGGATGTCCCAGTGGCAGCGCCTGCATTCGGTTTCAACACCAGTTTTGGCGCACCCCTCACACGATTCGTGGCCCCATGCTGAGCTTCACCGAAGGCCACAGTGGCAGTGCCCACATGCGTTGCCACCCCCCATTCTGGCGCATCTCTCGCACGCTTCGTGGTCCCATAGGGATCTCCACCGAAGGCCCCTGGGGCAGCGCCCGCATGCGGTGCGCGCCCCCCTCTTCCACAACACCTGTCTTGCGGTACTCGCAACTGCACATGGTTGGGTCCTTCGCCAGGGTAAGTATCTGAGGTATGCGGGAACAAGGTCGCGAGGAAGAGCGAGAGGGGGCCGCCCCCTGTCGCATCCCTTGGGCGAATCGAGGAGGAGGCAGCACCAGAACGAGGAGGCAGTAGCAGCACCAGGAGGAGGAGGAGGAGGAGGAGGAAGAGGAGGAGAGGAGAAAGGAGAGATGGTCAATGGGGAGAGGGGACAGGCGGGAGCAGGCAGAGGAGAGGGTAATTAGGGAGGGAAGAGGAGGAGGCACCCGAAAGACCAGGGAGTCACGCAAAAACAGGCCACATCTTTGCCAACCCGCTGGCGGCGCCGCCCACGTGCCGTTCCAAGCTCGGCCGGCCACCACGGCCGCGGCACCTTTTGGGCCACCCCCCTGCTGCATCGAGCACTGGACCCGTGCTGCTGCTTCTCCTCCTCCGGCTCCTCCTCCTCTTCCTCCTCCTCCTCCCTCTCCTTCTCCTTCGCTCATGTTGCTTATCAATGACTCCTCCCCGTCACACCCCGAGGTTGTCGGGAGTGCGGGCCGGGCGTTTCGCGTGAGACTTCCGAGCTGTTTATGACCCTTAAGCTGGAATCCAGAAAGGCTTCATACATTGAGGGTGGGTCGCGTTCCAAATGTGGCTCTCGCCTTAGCGCCGCACACATTCCTCTTCAACAACTGCAAGCGTTTCACGGATGCAAGGCAGGCCGCTTTCAACATATGCCTCTCACTCCAACGCTGCGAACGCTCGTCTTTAACATTCAAAAGCTTCATGGATGGAGGGCGGTCCGCTTTCAAAATTTGGTTCTCGCGCTAGCGCCGCGAAACTTCGTCTTAGAAATCTGCAAGAGCTTAACGGATTAGAGCCGCGCGCATTCGCTTGTAGAGCTTGCAGCACGCTCAGGGATTATCATGAGTACTGTCCCAAGCGTGTTGGTTTGGCACCATGTCGGACTGCCAGGGCGCAATACTTACTTACGTTTATTCGCGGTCTTGAATTGCCGGGAACGGCGTTCTTGCGCGATCCAGGGTCTTTAAAACGCAACATGGAAGGTGATTCGTGAAGTTGGTCCCAGGGATGGTGTTCTGGAGCAGCTCTGGATTTTCAAGCGGTTTTGCTCCAACGGGGCACCTCCCTCAGTGAAAATGAATACTTGCAGGGGCCTACGAAGAGGAAGCTTGGGTTTACACTGGTCATCCTACTCCTGCCCCTCCTCGTCCTCCTCGTCCATCCCCCCCCCCTTCCCCCTGTTATCATCGTCCTCCCGCTCCTATCCTGTTCCTCCTCCTCCTCCTCCTCCTCCACTTCCTCCCCCTCCTCCCTCTCCTCCTTCTCCTCCTCTTCTTTCTCTCCTTCAGGAGAAGGAGTAGGAGGAGGGCCCAAGAAGGGGGCAAGATGAGGCAGAACGAGGAGCAGGAGGCGCAGGGGGCGGAGGAGGACGGCGGCGGGGGGGAGTCTGCAGAGGCTGTCAAGGACGGGCCAGGGCGTGGGCAGGACCGGCTGGAGGGGGATTGGACAGGGGCCGGGAGGCGCACGGGGAGGCACGAATGCAGAGCGGAAGAAGAAGGGAAGGAGGGGGGGGGGGCGGAAGTGAGCGAGGGGCGCGCACGCGGGTGGCGTGGACGAGGCGTGAGGGGAAAGTGGCACGCGAGCGTCGGCAAGAAACGAGCCTTTCGCAAGACGGCATGGCAGTCTGAGTCCGCGGCTCACGCGAGGCACAGCGCGCGGAGACGGGGGCGCTCGCGCGCGACCCTACGCGGAAAGCTCACGCGCGAGGTGCCCGCGCAGGCGACCCCCCGGCTTCTCCCGCCGCCCACGCCGGGGGGAGGACGGGCGGGCCAGGTCAAAGAGGGGCCAGGGGGAGAATCAGCGCCCCTTGGGCCCGCGGAGCACCGCCGTCGTTCAGCCAGTCGTCCACGTCCTCTTGCCAGGAAGGAAACCCCCCATCGCGAGAGGCTCCGGGATGTTCCTGGGTGGCCCTCGCCGAAGAACCGACGCACACGTCCGAGCGATGCCAAGAAGAAGCACGGCCCTGGACCCCAGGGCTCCCCCCAGAACCTGTGACGGCTCGGGATATGTTCCAGGAGTCCCAGAATCTCCAGCGGCCCTCACTTCTGCACCCCCTTTCTGGAGCATCAAGAGATCTGGGAAATCCCAAACATCTTCAAAACGTATCACTATCATGACCTGCGGGGATCTTCTGACCCGGGTCAATCCAGACCCAGGTCGGTCAGGCCATGCAGGATCCCGCAAAATCCTGCTGGATCCAACAAGATCCCGCACCCAAGCCCGGGCCAGTGCGCCCCTGGCCCTGCAGGATCCTGCAGAGCCCGGCGATCTGACTGACCCCCGTCTGCACTGACCCCCGGAGGAGAAGGAGGAGGAGGAGGAGGAGGAGGCGGAGGAGGAGGAGGAGGAGCAGGAGAAGCAGGAGGAGCAGGAGGAGCAGGAGGAGGAGCAGGAGGAGGGGGAGGGGGATGGGGGAGTGGGAGGGAGGGGAGGAGGGGGGGAGGAGGAGGAGGAGCAGGAGGAGGAGGAGGAGGAGGAGAAGGAGGAGGAGGAGGAGGACGAAAAAGAGGCCCCGATGACCTCCTGCCCCTCCGAGCACCGGCTCCCCCGCCTCGCGGCCGCCGCCTCGACGGGCCCCGCGGAGGCCCCGCGGAGGGCCCCCCCCCGCAGGGGAAGCCCGAGAGAGCGGCGGCCCGAGAGGGCTCCCCGCGCCCGCTCGGGGCACCACTGCTGCTGGGGGCCGGCAGCCCCCACGCGGCCGGAGAGCCGGCCGGCCGCGCCGGGCAGAGGCACCGCGGCCGCGGCGGAGGGCGGCCGCGGAGGGAACGCGGCGGGAGCCGGCGGCGAGCGAGGGGGGAGAATGAGAAGGAGAAGGCCTGCGCAGGGCTCAGAAGGCGGCGGGGCTCCTCGGAACCCCTCCGCCCCTCAGGGGAGAGCTTTTTGGGGCGTCTTCCGGGGAGGCTGACAGCAACCTCTCGGAAGGCCAGGGCCTCCCGAGAAGGCCCGCCACGTGTCACTTCCCCCCTCTCGCTCGCCGCCGGGGGAGGCCGCGGGCGCAGAAGCTCTTCGCCACGAGGAGCGCGCAAGCGCCCGTGGGCGTGAGCGGCCCAGGGCTAGGCTTGGCGGGCGCGTGGCCCGCCAGCGCTGCGGCCGCCACGCCCCCTCGAGAACCGACCGACAGAGCAAGTCGCCAAGTGGCTTGAAAAACGACACATCAGAGCCAGTCGCCAATCTGGGCCAGGGTTCTATCTATCGACCCAAACCTCTGACGTATCGTTTTTCAATGCGACCCCCCTCGAGGCCCCGACCCTTTCCCCATGGCCGCCGTTCCGTCCTGAGCCGTTTTGTTAGCGGCTCCGCGGCCTGGCAAGGGCCGCCAGACGCCGAAATTTACATTTTGTTCCAGAACGCTGGGTCTCTGTGCACCTCCGAGCACCGGAGCAGGGCAACTTGGTTTAGACAATGGCAGCTCAAAATCGGCCCCCTCACCCCTCCCGAGGTCAAAACGCACCAGTCTTCCGAGCTGCGTCTGCGTCCCGAAGGGGGCCCCGAAGGCCACCTACTGTGGTCTCAACCCACCTTCCTCTGATATCAGGACCTCTTGGCCTTCACTGATTTTTCAACACGCTGAATGTCTGCGAACCTCCGACCAGGACACCTTCAGCGGAACACGAACCGGCATCCGATGTTGGGGCGGGCGTGAGACCGAAGCGGAACAGAAAGCCCCCCACCAGGAAATCGGTTTCGGTTTTGTGTTCGTGTCGTGCGTGCGGGCGAGGCATGAGCCCTCCATTGCTAGGGCGACGCCGGGCCAGAAGTCCGCCCCCCGTCCAGGTTGGCACGCGGGTGAGGGGGGTGTCCGCCGTGGTGTCCCGTGGTGTCCCATGGTGTCCCGTGGTGTCCTGTGGTGTCCCGCGGTGTCCCGATGGTGTCCCGCGGCTTCCCGATGGTGTCCCCGTGGTGTCTCACTGGTGTCCCCGTGGTGTCACGAGCTGTGTCCCCGTGGTGTCCCGATGGTGTCCCCGTGGTGGTCGGGGGGACGCGCCGCCAACTCGTGAGCGCATCACCCGCATTGCCACGACGGCGCCCGCTGAGCACGCCTGCGTCGGTGCTCGTGGCAGGCTCGTGGTCGACCTACAGATCTCCGCAGCTGGAGCTGGGCCCTCGGCCCCCCCATAGGGTGGCCACATAGGCAGCTCCAACTTCCCGGAGCTCTGCGCGGAGCTCCGAGGAATCGTGCCGATGCCGCCCTTCCCTCTTCGGCGGAGGGGGGGCCGGCAGCCCGCCCCGCCCAGGAACGCTCGGACTCGCCGTCGGGGACCTGCTGCCACATCGATCCGCGATGCATCACGCACCGGCTCCAGCTCGCTGCTCGCCCCCCTGAGCCAACCCGCCCCCCTGAACGTTGCCCCTGACCCAGACCCCCGACGTAATGATTTTTTCATTACGTCGACCCCCAGAAGTCCCGACCCTTTCCCCATGACCGGCTTTGCATCCTGAGTCGTTTTTTGACGCTCCCGAGGCCCCGTGAGGGCCCCCGGAGGCCGAAAATGAAGGAAAACCTCCCGTCATGATTTTTTCATTACTCGAGGGGGTCTGGGGAGGGGCCCCTCCTCCTTCGCCTGGGTGCTCCTCCCGGGCCGTTGCCGGCCGCTCCCGGGGCTCGGCGGGGGCCCGGAGAGGCCGAGCAGCCCGCAGCCACAAAGACAACACCGCGTGGTCTCCACTCGCCCTCAAGTCGAGCCGTGGGGCCTCAGGTCAGGGCGGGGGGGGGGGGCCTCTCGGGGCGGGCGAAAGGGGCGGATAGCAAAGGGGGGGTCTGAGAATCAGCTCACGTAGCTGACGCCATGAGGCGCGAAAGGGGCGCATGGCCTCAGGCGGAGAACGTTCCTAAGAGGCGAGGCCCAGACGAAAGAGTAGGATGGCAGAGGGTAGGGTAGAGAATCAGCTCATGCTGCCGGTTTTCCTGGCGCCTCCTGGCGTCAGGAGGCGCCCGTGTATCGAGGAATGGGCCCGGCGGCGGGGCCGGAACCAGCTGCATGCAGCAGATTTCGTAACCCCCCCGTTCCCTATCCCCCCCTTTCGTGCGGCCCGAGCCTCAGGTCTGGCGCAACCAACCTTGTCCAACGAACCCTTCTGCCAGCCTGACATCGTAGCTGGCATCATCGTCGGGTGAAGAGTGACGGGAATGGCAGATTGAGGCGAACAGCATCTGATATTCGGGAGCCGATCCCCCCTCCGCTGAGATCAGAACCCCTCCTCTTCCACTCGGCGACGTCGGCGATGCATCAGCGACGTCGGTGTGCGGAAAATCGAGCCGCATCGCCGATGCATCGGCGGTACGGCGCGATCCTCCGACCCCATCTACTCGGACCCCACCTGGGAGGCCTAGGTCCACCATGGCCCTCCCCAGGCCCCCGACGCCATGACTTGCTCAATTTGTTCCTGACGTCCACCCCCAAAGGTCTCGCCCCAGTCCCCCGGCCCGGCTTCTCCACCTGCATCTCTCTGTTGCTGGCCCCGCGGGGCCCGGCGAGGGACCCGGAGGCCAGCAATTGCGCAGAGCCCTCCGTCGTGCGTCTTTCGTGCCTCGAGGGCTCGCCGTCGCTCGGCCGCCCACCCCCCGTGCACTCCTCGACCTCGCGCCTGCTTCTTATGGGCTCGAGGGTCGAGGATGCTCCTCGATGGCCCTCGCCGACAAAGGAGGCACGCGTCCGAGCGCTGCAAAGAGGAGCTGTGGGCGTCCTCCTCCGGCTCCGCCGCCGCGGCTGCGTGCTGCCGCGGCGCCGTCGGCTCGCGGTGCCACGCACACGGGGGCGGCGCGCCGCGCGCGGCGGCGGCCCCGCAGGGGTCGGCGCCCGCTGGCGCGATGGCGCCGCCTGCGGCGCCCGGGGGGGAATCGCGGGGAGCTCCTGCTGCTGCTGCTGCTGGTCCTCCTCCCGTCCCCTTCCCTTTCCTTCCCCTCCGCGCCGTCCCCACTCATTGCCGCCTTGTCCCCCCCCCCCTCCCCGACCCCCTCTCCCACATCGAGGACTCCTTCCCGCCAGTCGCACCCCGTCGGCGCCGCCTTCGGCGGCCCAGGGGGGCGTCGCGGGGAAGTCCTCCTGCGGCCGGTCCTCCTCCCGCCCTCTTGTTTTACCCTCTGCACCGTCCCACTTCTTGCCGCCTTGTCCCCCCCTCCCCAGCCCCTTGTTCGTCATAGAAGGCTCCTGCCTGTCGCCCCCCCGAGACGTGCTGGTGGGGCGGGCCGGGCGTTTCGCCGGAGCCTCCCCCACCATCCATAGTACGGAAGCTGAACAATGCACCAGTTTGACAGATGGAGGGCGGGCCGTTTTCAAAATGTGGCTCTCGCCTTCCTGGGCGCCGCGCGAATGCACGATTGAGGATTGTCTGTCACGTTGATTCGCGCTGTTACAGTCCCATGAATGGCGGTCTGGTCAGATTTGGGATCGTCAAGACGTAACTGGAACGTTGATGTGAGGCGTTGAAATTCCAGGATGGTTTTTGGGCACGGATGAAAATTCACATACGGCTGCCTTCCAGCGGGGCACTTCCCGCAGTGGACTAACTCGTTGCACGGAACTGTGATGAGGGAGCTAAGAAGGAGAATGGATTGCAACATCTTTGATGCGTTTTGGTTGTACAGTGGCCCTCCTCCTCCTCCTCCTCCTTCTCCTCCTCCTCCTCCTCCTCCTCCTCCTCCTCCTCCTCCTCTCCCTCGTCCTCCTGCTGTTCCTACTCCTCCTCATGAGTCCCATTTCCTCTTGCTCATTCTGATGCTGCTGCTGCTGCTGCTGCTGCTGCTGCTGCTGCTGCTGCTGCTCCTCCTCCTCCTCCTCCTCCTCCTCCTCCTCCTCCTCCTCCTCCTCCTCCTCCTCCTCCTCCTCCTCCTCCTTCTCCTCTCTCGTGCCGCCGCCTCCTCGTGGTGCCCATCTCTCCGTTTCTACTTCCTGCTCCTCTTGCTGTTCCTTCTCCTTCTGTTCTCCCTTATTCCGCTTCTGCTCCTCCTCCCGCTCATCCTCCACATGTGCGCAGCAAGGAGGAGGACCGCTGTCGACGAGGTGAACAATAAGGAGAACAAGGTAGGGAGGAAGCTGGGAGGAGGACCAACAGCAGGAGGAATCAGGAGTGGGTGGGCGACGAGGAGGAGCCCAAAGGCGGAGCAGCAGGAGGAGCAGCAGGAGGTGGATGAACAGCAGGAGCAGCGCAGCCGTTGAGGAGGAGGGTGGCGGCAGCCCAGGCCCGAGGGATCCGTCTGCGGGGTGCAGCTGATGGCCTGGGGCCCAGGGGGGCCCCCGCCCAACCGACGCCTCCCTCCCTCCACCCCTCCCGCGCTGTCCCCCGCCAGCCATCCTGCCTCGGCACCTGTTCCAGGCATCCCTCCGTGCATCCCACCCACCCCTGCCCTCCACCCGCTGTCCTCCTACTGAATGACTGACTGCCTGAGGGCAGAAGAGCCGTACTGAGTCGTACTGACGCTGCCCTCCGCCCTCGGCGGCGGTCCCCCGAGGTCACCAGAGACCTCCAGCAGAGGGTCTGGAGGCCTCTCGAAGCAACACGACTCGAGGGAGGGAGCAAGCTCCTCGAGGATCGAGGATCCGGCTCCCTCCCTCCCTTAACCCCCTCGAAGATCCTGCTCCCTCCCTCCCTCACCCCCCCCCCTCCTCCTACACGGAAGGTCACGTCGCGAGGACGCCAGCATTGGTTTCGGGCACCGCATAGAGCTCGACAGTGGAACCATCGTGGCGCTGATTGTCGGTCGATCCGGGGCCACTGGCGGCGTTCCAACTTCAGACTCCTGGCGCCACTTTGGGCGCCCGAGTTATCCGGGGTAACTCGGGCCCGGGGTAACTCGGGTGTGGATTCCCGAAAACGAACCCGAATTAGCCCTGACCCGAATTATCCCTGATGATTTGGAACTCTGGACGCCCGAGTATCCGGGGTAACTCGGGCCCGGGGCAACTCGGGTTCGGATTCCCGAAAAACGAACCCGAGTTAGCCCTGACCCGAGTTATTCCTGATGATTCGGGTCTCTGACCACTGGCGGCTTTCCGACTTGAAAGCCCGCGCTGGGGTCGCCTCCGCGCCACTGCGGCGTGAATCGACCGTGCAGCTTCCCCTTCTCCCTCCCTCGCCTCTCCTGCTCCTCCCCTTCCCCCCCCTCCATCCTCCCTCCTCCCCTTCCCCCTTGCTCCCCTCATCCCCCACCCCTCCTCTCTGATCGGGCGAACGGGAGTGATAACTCGGGGATGGACAGACCCCCCTTTAGTAAAACGTGGTTTAGTGAAAACGACCTGAAGCCCAAACCTGGCGTGCGCAAGCCTGGAAAATAGCGGCAGCGGCGCCCTCTCGAGAACCGAAAACGGACAATTCACTAATCGACGTGTCACTGTTGGGGGTTCTGTCCACCCCCGAATAACATGCAGGGGTTCGGGAATAAGCTGCATGCTTCTGGCGCTGCCTAGCGCCAAAGGCGGCGATGTTATCGAGCAAGAGCGCCCCCCCCTTCCGATTCTCCCGGCCTCCCTCCTTTAGTCCGCCCCGACTCCCCCTGAGATCCGACGTGGCGAAGAGCGCATGACAAACCAAGATCGGGGCCCGAGCCAGACCGATCTGCGAGGGCTGGGAGCCAGGACCAGGCGAGACGCCCTGCGCGACAGGGCTTCGACGCCCAGATCTGACGGCTCCCCGCCTATAGAAAGGCCTTCCCCCCCCTCCCCCCCTCCGGCGCCTCCCGGCGCCGGAGGAGGCGCGCCTCGCTATTTCCATGCCCCCCTTTTCCGTGTGCCCGCCCCCGTTCCTCCCCACCCACCCTCCCCGTCCGCCGCCCCGCCCCTCCCCATGCCATCCCCCCTTCCCTCCCCCCCCCTCCCCCTCCTCTCCCCTCCACTCCCCCCTCCCCTCCCCCCCTTCCACGCGACCACGTGACTATACACGACGACGGGATGAGAGGCGGGGGGTGAGCGGGTTCGGGGGGTCAGATGGGAGCGGGGGGGGGGGGGGGGGAATGCCGATCGGAGGGGGCCCCCCGATCCCAGAAATCCGACGTCTCGATGTTGTTCGAGACGCGGGCCCCTGACCTCCCGACCGCTTTCCCGGGCCCCAGGACCGGTTTTAGGGGGAAAACAAGCCTACCTCGCTTTTGACCACCCTCGCTTCCAAGAGATACCAAACGATGCCAAATTGCAGCCTGTACTGGTTAGGCCGCTTGACGAGGAGGCGCGTGGTATGACTTGGTTTTGCCTGGAAGCGAAAGCGGGGTAGGTATTTCACGCTCTGAGGTTTGTCATCCCCAGTCGTTTCTTGGCGGTCCCGAGGCCCAGCGAGGGCCCCAGGACGCCGAAAACTACGACAAACTTGCGTCTCGATTCTTTCGCTATGCCCGATGTCTGGGATAGTCATCTCCACCCCCCACTCGCCTTCCCCTCCCCCTCCGTCTGGCAGGGGGGGGCCCTGGCCTGCCGACAACGCGCCCTCGCGCAGCGCGTGGTCTGCGCACGCTGGCGGGGCCGGCTCCACCGCGAGGCCGCGGCCGCGCCCCCTGCCGCGCCCCCTGCCGCCGAGGGCGGAGCACTGAGAGGCGGAGCGGAGGCGTCGTAGTGCCGGGGGGGACGAAACGGCGCGTGGCGGGCCCGCCCGGCGCCCTCGCCGCCCCCCCGACAATACAGGGCAGTTTTTAAGACATTGGATGGTTGAAAATAGAGGATTTTAAATGCATGACTAATTGATGAACAAATCTATGCACAAGCTCATCCTTGCATTTATCATTCAACCCTCTCTTCTTAATACACGGTCCGCACGCGGAGCATGTATTAAAACGGCACTGTACGGAGCGGAGGGGACATGTTGTCGGGGGGGGCTGCTGTGCGGAGGGGCCGCTGGGCGGAGCACCGAGAGGCGGAGCGGCGGGGGCTGTGTTGTCGGGGGAGAGGGCGCGTAGCGGGCCCTGGGGGTCCCCGGACGACAAGTACGCCGGCCAGGTCTCGGGAGGGCCCCCGCAGCCCTGGATCAGGGATGCCGGAACTCCTGGGCGCGGCCTCGGGTGCGCCCAGGGCGCCCCAATGAGACGCGAAAGGGGTGGAGGGTCGCATGGCCTCAGGCGGAGAACGTTCCTCAGAGGCGAGGCCCAGACGAAAGAAGAGGATGGCAAAGGGCAGGGGGGAGAAGCAGCTCATGCTGCCGGTTTTCCTGGCGCCTCATGGCGTCAGGAGGCGCCCATGTATCGAGGAATGGGCCCGGCGGCGGGGCGGAAACCAGCTGCACGCAGTAGATTTCGTAGCCCCCCCCTTTCCCTATCCTACCCTCTCGTCTGGCCCATATTGGTCATGC